GACCCAGCAATTGCACTACTGGGTATTTACCCCAAAGATACAAATGTAGTGATCTGAAGGGGCACCTGCATCCCAATGTTTATAGCAGCAATGTCCACAATAGCCAAACTATGGAAAGAGCCTAGATGTCAATCAACAGATGAATGAATAAAGATGTGGTATATATATACAATGGAATATTACACAGCCATCAGAAAAAAGAAATCTTGCCATTTGCAACAATGTGGATGGAACTACAGGATATTATGCTAAGCGAAATAAGTCAGAGAAATAGAAGTATCATATGATCTCACTGATATGAGGAATTTGAGAAACAAGACAGAGGATCATAGGGGAAGGGAGGGAAAAATGAAACAAGATGAAACCAGAGAAGGAGGAGATAAACCATAAGAGACTCTTAATCTCAGGGAACAAACTGAGGGTTGCTGGAGTGGAGTGGGGTGGGAGGGATGGGGTGGCTGGACGATGGACATTGGGGAGGGTATGTACCATGGTGAGCACTGTGAATTGTGTAAGACTGATGATTCACAGAGCTGTACCCCTGAAACAAATAATACATTATATGTTAATAAAAAAAATTACAAAAAAAAATCAGAGCACCAATAAATTAGAAAAAAAAAAGTAGTAGGAAGGTGTAATGTCTCCAAAGCCTGAATGTTATCCTGAGGAACTGGGAATTTTATCATGTGGGGTGAGGAGCCACTGAGGTGATTTACACATGGACGAGACATTACTTCACTAGCATTTAGATGAACTACCCATGTGGAAGATGTGCTTGAGTAGGGTGAAGAAAGAAGTGGGCAGGTCGGTAAAGAAGCCATTCCAACAGTTCAGGTGTGAAACCATGAGACAGCAGTAGGAGGAATAAAGTAGAGGAATACATTTAAAATACCTTAGGTTTTACCATATAAAATCGCTGTTATCTTTGACAAATAGGAAAAGTAGGAAGACATGATTACACACCAGATATGGCAGGAGCTGAGACAGTGAGAACAAGAGAGGCCAGGGATGTACTGCACTTTTGTGGCTTGGGTGTCTGGCTGGGACTGGGGACGTATCATCTAATATGGAAAGAAGAGGGAAATTAGTTTGGGAAGGACTGTAAATGGGACTATAAATGTTAACTTTTACTTTGAATCAGTTGAGCTGGAGATGTCTTGTAGATACCTACACAAAGATGTTGAGTCAACTATGTCCAACATGGCAGTCACTAGCCATGTGTAACTATTTAAAACTTAAATTAAAAATTCAGTTCCTCAGTCACACTAGCCGCATTTCAAGTGTTCAACAGGCATATGTGGGTAGTGGCCATCATTTGGGACAATGCGGATACAGATGGTTTCCATCATCATAAAAAGTGCTATTGGTGGGGCACCTGGGTGGCTCAGTTGGCTAAGTGTTCAACTCTTGATTTTGGCTCAGGTCATGATCTTGGGGTTGTGAAATCAAGCCCCGCGTAGGGACCCACACTCAGCTGGGAGTCTCTCCCTCTCATTCTACCCCTCTCCCTGCTCGCATGCTTGCTCTCTCTCAAAAAATACATAAGATAAAATAAAATAAAAATTTTTAAAAAGTGCTATTGGTCACAGTGGGCTGCAGAGCCACATTTATGGGAACTAGGAAAAACATCGTTGTTGAAACCAGAGTGGGGATGAAATGAGTCAAGAAGACCAGCTAGAAGAATAGTTAGAAGGACTGGAAACCTGTCATGTGACATGTGAAAGGGCAAAAGAAAGATGACTCCATGAAAGAAACAGGCCATCAGAGACACTAACACAGGAGACCTTCCAGAAGGACTGAGTAGGCGCAGAGTCAGGCACTGTAGACAGGTCTGTGAGGTAAGGACGAGGCAAGACCCACTGGATTTGACTATAGTTAGGTCACTGGTGGGTGCAGGTCACAGGCATATGAGTAAAGACACCAAAGCCTCATGCAGTAGACTGAGATGTGAATGGAAAGTGCCGTAGCATTAGCTAGAGAACAGAACTTTAAGCTCTCTGAACAACTTGTTCAAGAAAGGTACTTGAGAGAAATATTTACATAGAGCTATTTTCAGGACATGAATGTACCAGCTATTCATGCTGACCTCCAGTTAGTCTAAGTATTATCTCTGGATCTAGCAGAATGGTCAGAAAAAGGTCTACTTCTGTTTTATTTAGATGGACAACTGTATTAACAAAAGCCCTGCTTTGGCAATGTGCCCCTTACTCCCACTGAGGAAAAAGTGGAAACAACAGTCTACAATTATTTCCGTGTTGTTATTGGAAAGATCTGCACTATCACCTACCTGAAGACCAACAAAGACATTTTCCCTGACTTTGGTGACTTTAGATTCCAGAAGAAGGTTTGATTTAAGATTCTCATCAATGCAAATCTTGAAACAAATATTGTCTGACTCTCTGCCATGGCTATCAGAAAGGTCAGGAAGAAATCTGCACCTGCACTTTGGAAAATCTGTAACTTCACAGGACTGCATCTATCCACATGCCAACTGTGCTGTACTACTCATCTGCTTTTCTCTACCTTCCTTGAATGGTTCTGATCCATTTCCATTTCCACTTTTCTATGTTAATTAGCTACCTATAAAATCTATTATAAAAAAGTTGTATATAAATAACTCACCTGAGATGTGTTCATTTTCTGTTGTTGTTGGGAGAGTACAGAGAACTGTGATGGATAAGCTGGGAATAAGGAAAGAGGAATGGAATTACAAGAGGTCTGGTGAGCTTCCGCCAGTTGCCTAAAAATCTCACCACATCAGCTGGGGGAAAGGCCTCCCTATGGAAAAATGTTCTGTTGACCCTTGAGAAGGGGCAGGAAGCACCACATAGAGACAGCACTCCTGGAATATGTAATACATCTCTGATATGATCACGTGGATGTAACCCTGCTGTTTTTCACTGGTGACTGTAAATTATTTCCTATTAATTTTAAAAATGTATGTCCCCCTCTGACTAATTAACAAAAAATTAAAACAGAGGATAATATTAATATCCTATTATTTCTACTTTGAGTTAGAAAATCAAGAGAAAACTCTGGGGAAAAAAAGATGCTTAGTGCCAAAATATTTTAAAATCATTTTGTTCTTTTGGTAAGACTTTTGATGAGACACTTCTAGTGACTTATCTGTGACAGAATGAACTGCACTGTGCTTTGCTCCTCGCTCTGTCCTGGGTGACCAGGGGATATACATCTCAGGCTCCATTTTTTCTTAAAGTTTCAAAAGAGTCAGAGATAGAAATCCCCTCCAATACTGTCATTTTATAACTTTATATGTTCAAGATAAAGGAAGCCTCAGCATATCTCTAGATGCCACTTGTGATGGACACAATGTGAGAGTGGCTCAGAATCTGGAAAGAGGGAAAAATGAAGAAAATGGGGGCTGTTTAAGGACTGAGACTGAATTTCCTTTGCTCTGGCAGTGGCTCTTCCTGTATGGCCTGATAGTCACCCATCTCTTTCAACCCCAGCTCACCACCTTCCGCAAGCTGGTCCAGTTTCCACTGTCACATAGTATGTGATAGCTTCTGGATATAGTGACATCACCAAGTCTGGCTCTTTCTGGACAAGGTAATTAAGAACTGCTTCTGGTGGAGCAAATTAGGACTCACTCCTTTCTGGGTTCTTCTGCATGTTCTGAAGCTCTGGTAAGGGTGGTTCCTGTTAGATGAGCTCTTTTTCCAGGTGGGACTCCTGTCCCCAGGGCTCTTCTCCCTGTCACACAAGAGCTACTTTGTTCCAGATGTTGAGACTTAGGCCTAGGAAACAAATTCCTCTTAGTTGAAACTTTCATCGAGAGCAGTCTCTCAACTTCAGCAATGCTGACATTTTGGGCTGCATAATTCTTTGTCACGTGGGGGCTGTCCTGTGCACTGTCGGATGTCTAGCAGCATTTTTGGCCTCTACCCACCACACACTAGTAGCACTCCTCCTCTGTTGTGACAACCCAAATCATCTCCAGCCATTTCCAAACGTCCTCTGGAGAGCAAAATCATCCTGGTTTGGAACCACTGGTGTTGGCGTTAAACCTGATTCTCTTCAAATTCATTAGAACTGCTCACCCATTATTGTAGCCACTAGCCACAGCCCACTATTGAGCATTTGAAATGTGGCTACCACACGGTGTATAGTTTTGTATATACTAAGATAAAGAATATGTTCTTAAAACTAACTTCATGTGTTTTAATTTTTAATGTGGCTACTAGAACATTTAAAATTACGTATGTGGCTCACCTTATCTATTAGACAGCACTGCATTACAATATCAGACTATGCCTTCAGAAGACAGAAGACAGCCTGGACAGCACAGGAGGTGCCAGGAGGCTCAGTCTTATCCAGCTCTGGAGACATGCCAGAAACCCTGGAATAGATACACCTAGCATAGAGTGACATTTGGCTCATGTTGACTTTACAATCATAGTCCTGAGAATATGGGGGGTGGGAGCAAGTCACTCTACTACTGCTGTGAAGGCTGCAATGCTGAGTTTTAAGTAGGCAGGATATTAGTAATAGCTGAATTTGGAAGTAAAGCATATCTGTATTTACATCCTGGCTGCCTCACCTTTTTGACCTTCAGTCTGTAATTTCACTCTTCTGAGCCCATTTTCTTTTTCTTTTCTTTATCTCTCTTTCTTTCTAAAATTATATGGTTAATACTATGGAAAGAGCCCAGATGTCCATCAACAGATGAATGGATAAAGAAAATGTGGTGTACACACACACACACACACACACACACACACAATGGACTATTACTCAGCCATCAAAAAGAATGAAATCTTGCCATTTGCAATGACATGGATGGAACTACAGGGTATTATGCTAAGAGAAATAAGTCAGAGAAAGACATGATTTCACTCATATGTAGAATTTAAGAAACAAAACAGGATCAGAGCGGAAGGGAGGGAAAAATAAAATAAGAGGAAATCAGAGAGGGAGACAAACCATAAGAGACTCTTAACTATAGAAAACAAACTGAGGGTTGCTAGAGGGGAGGTGGGTGAGGGGATGGGGTAACTGGGTGGTGGACATTAAGGGGGGGCACTGATGTAATGAGCAATGGGTGTTACATACAATTGATGAATCACTAAACTCCACCTCTGAAACTAACAACAAACTATATGTTAATTAATTGAATTAAAATAAAATAAAATTTAAAAAATAAAATTATATGGTTATACCTATAAATAGGGTGGCTATAAAGATTAAGTTAAATACTAAATAAAAAAGAACAAAGTGTCTTCCAAATATGATGGAAGCCAACACTACATGTTGGCTTATACCTTGTACCTATTAGTGCTTACTCACTAGCACTTGGCTAAATGCTTTATAGACGATGACTTATCTCTTTCTGAACAAGGCCACAAAGCAGTTTTTACTAATATCCTTATTTTCAGATGAGAACCTGACTTATGCCCAAGTGACAAAGGAGGCTTTTACCCGATCTTTCTGGCCTTTAAGCTCAAGGCCGGGGCGCGCTTTACGCCAGTTTCACGGTCAATATCTAATAACCTAAACAGGCGTTACCTTCCCGCCGCCTGCAAGAGATCTTCCCAGGGCCGGGTGCAGTCAGCTCCCGCACTCCAGTCCGCAGGGAACACCTTCCTAAAACACTCGCCCCATCTGGGTCCCCGGAGCCCGCGGGGCTAGGGCCCGCCCCCAACCGCCCCCAACCGCCTTTGACAGGTCTAGGTTCTCGCCTGGCTCCGGAATAAGCGGCGGGTTCCCGCCTTGGGTAGAGCCGGGAGTTCCCGAGACGTCTGGGTCCTCCTCAGGCCACAAGCCCACCCCACTCCCGCCAAGCGCACGGAGGCCCAGGAACCCCCGCCCCGCTCCTCTCACCTGAGGGCAAACGGGCCGCACCCGCACGGCCGGAGAGGGCGGAAGCAGGGAAGCAGGGTTGACTGCACATGCGCAGGGAAAAGTCCAGGCTCTCCGTTCCTAGAGTGCCGCGCGGGGAGCCGTGGCCTTCAGGACTACATTTCCCATGAAAACACCGCGACCCCTCGCGGATTTCGAGTGTGTTGGAGGCCGGCGTGGGGCGGGGAGGCCGGGGTAAAGAGGGCATAATAAGATTAACAGCCTGTATTGATAGCTGGAGCCCAGATCCTACCAAAACCCCAGAGGTTATGGGTTAAACTTTGACATGAGATGAAATACAGTATGTGGTCATGGATCAGATCCTGGTTGGAGAAAACAAGAAGGCATTTGGGAACAACTGGGGAAATTTGTGTATGGATTGGATATGAGAAATATTAAGGGAAGTTATTGTTATTTTTGTTAATTGTGATAATGACATTCGGATTATGAAGAGAAGTTTACTTTTTTTAGAGATGTATATTAAAATACTTAACATTATATTACATATTTGTAATTGAAAAAATAACAACTAGAAAAAGCAAATATAGTAACATGTTAAGGATTTCTACCTCTAGTATATGGGTATGCTCCTTTTACTATTTTCTACTTCTCTATGCAGTTGGAAGTTTTGTAATATGAAGTTAATAAAGGGGAAATTTTGAACTGTTTTTTCAAAAAGTGTGCCTTTTAACTCAGAGCTGCCAAAAGAAGATAAAATATATGTGACAAAACTAAAACAGTAACAAGTTTGATGGCCTTTACTCAAGGGAAAACAAATCATAGAGCACTCTTCTGAGGGATTTTGGACAAGAGCATATTTTATTACTAGAGATTTCCTTATAAGGCAAAGTAAAAGTTTCCTTATAAAGGTAAAGTCAGCTAGCTAAAGCTGAATTGTGATTGGCATATGTTAGGTGTCTTTGACAATGAGAAGGGTACCATTAGATCAGGCTGACTTAGATTTGTGACTTGGGCCCCCATTTTGTGAGTACCAATATACAATTAACTTTACCACATGTAAACAGCTTTTGTGAATAAAACTGTAAAATATAACAAATAACAGGAAATGGAGCCTATCATTAACATAAAAGAGTAATATCTGTGATCCTCAGAGTTTATCTTTAGGAAAAAAAGAAAAAGTAAGTTGTTGAATCTTCCATAAGTAATACCTGAAAGTACACACCACTCAATAAAAAAACAACTATCATGCAAATTATGCGTCTCCTAAGGACAAACTTATATTTGCACACTTCTGAAATTAGGAACCTCCACACATTTTGACTGTCTTTGTGTATATGTGTTTATATATACAAAACGTGCATACACTTATATATAAATACACTTTTTTGGTTGTTATTTTGTAACATAGATTATTTTATATGGCAGTGATAAAAAGAGAGTTTTGATTAGCAAGTAAAAAGAAAGATTAACGTTTCCAGTAAGTTATTGCAGCTTATGTGAATCAAGGTATAAACTTTATTCTGTTGACACTTAAGAAACTTCAATAAATACCAGTTTTCTAGATGGAAAGAATATAATTGATTAAAGTTCCAATCAGAGTTCTAAAAAAGTTTTCTATGTGTGTTTTTTCTCTTTGATATTTATATATTTTGTTTTTTAAACATTAAGGAACAATTCCAACTTTTATGCTAATAAAAACTTTTAGTAATGATCAAAAGAAAACTGAAAATGCATAGCAATGTATCTGTATTAACATGTACGCTATTGCTAAAATATTTAAAAACTGATCCTGATGCAAGAAAAGTTCAAGTCCAAGAAGAAAAGAAAGTGAGAAGGTAGTATGTATTAGAGATGTGGTTTAATGCAGTGGAAAGAGAACATTCAATAATTTTGTTAGAACAATGAGGTAGGTGCTGGAACATAGCAAGGCCATATCCATGGAATTCATATTACAATAAATAACTTTCATAGTGATTCAAGTATAAGCAATTAAAAGACAATTTCTAGAGTTTTAAAAGTTAAATTTCTAAAGTTCCTAAGTTCTTTTTTTCTTTTTAAAGATTTTATTTCTTTATTTGACAGAGAGAGACAAAGCGAGAGAAGGAACACAAGCAGGGGAAGTGGGAGAGGGAGAAGCAGGCCTCCCACTGAGCAGGGAGCCCGATGCGGGGCTTGATCCCAGGATCCCAGGATCATGACCTGAGCCGAAGGCAGACGCTTAACAACTGAGCCACCCAGGTGCCCCAAAAGTTCCTAAGTTCTTAAAGAATACAAATGTTTTAAAAATATAAGTCCTCTCAGCTCCTTTCTAGGAAACCCTACCTCTTCACTCCTATCCCATGCCTGAGACCCTGCTCCACACCTGAGAAAACCTGGCCTGGGCGTGCTGAGATAGGCCACAGACCCATCCTCCCCTACCCCGCCCTGAATCCAGTGCTGTCAATGTAGATGCAGCACCAGGACAGTTACTAATAAATATTTGCAGAGGGATACTCTGAAGCTATAAAACATACTGTTTCTCCTTAAAGTATCATTCACCAGTTTAGCATTCATTTGTGGATCTTGTCTGATTCAGTTATTACTCTGGTGTTCTAATGGTGATTTTTAATTTCCCTCATTAGTCTAAGAAAGCATAAAGCAGGCTGTGATGTCTGGGAGCTGGTCTGACACTTAGAGAGAGCCTGGCTGTGAGTAAAACTGTCTGGAGCTCATAGCTAAACAGTGGTGCTTTCTTGCTGGACCTAAACAATCTCACTGAACACAAGCAGATGAGGTCATTTTGTGACCATTGTGATGTAACACAAACAAGATCACTGTTTTGCAAGAGTAAAGACAAAAACAAGGCTGCTCTGCCACTCTCAAAATACCAAGCATCCCCCTCTCAGCTGTTACAAGTGACTGTTGCTTTTTTTTTTTTTTAAACAACACCCAATCCTGAACAAACTCAGTGGCTTTGGAACCAATGCAAAATGAACGAACTAAAGCTCAAATCCTATAACTTCTTTCTAACCCTCTCTTACTGAAACCCTTTATCATTCCCATGTAATGTGTACTCTATCTCATTTCACTGACTATTAAAATCTAAATTGTTCAATTTGCATGTGTGTTCTGAATGTATTTGGCTAAATTACATTGACATCTTCTATAGTTATTGATTGGAATTCTGCAAGGAAGATTTGTCCCTTCTCCCCTATGTACTTATTTATTCAATCACTTGTTTTTATCTGTATGGACACATGGAGATTTATTTCACTCTTTGGGCTACAGTCCATTACTATATTTTTTATTTTGCTGAATATGTGCCATTTTTGGCCATTGGGAGCTCTTTCAGGCTGGTTCTGTGTCTTTTTTTTTTTTTTTTCTTTAAATAGGCATTACTTTGTAGAACAGTTTTAGGTTCACAGCAAAATTCTGCAGAAAATACAGAGTTCCTGTATACTTCCTGCCTCCACATATGTATGGCCTTCCCCACTATAAACATCCTGCACCAGAGTGTGGTTCATTTATTACACTTGATGAACCTACATTGATATATCATTATCATCCCAAATCCACAGTTGACATTAGGATTCACTCTTGGTATTATACATTCTATAAGTTTTGACAAATGTATCCACCATTAAAGCATCATACAGAATAGTTTCATTGCTTTAGAATCCTCTA